TCCGCTGTCGTTTTCCGTTGAGGTTTGCGACGGCGTCCTCGGTACTTATTTTTCGTCCGAGACTTCCGAGCTCGGAAGTCACGCTTTGTCGGGTCGTTCATTGTCAGGGGTGGAACTCACGAAATGTACTTTGGAGCAGCCACGGGAGCAGCTGAAACAGCTGTTTTGGAGCAGGTTGGGAGCAGCTAAAACTACATTTCGGAGCAGGTTAGGAGCAGCTCAGATTAGTTTTCATTGCATTTCAGCTGGAGTTTTAGTCAAGCACGGGAGCAATTTCAATTGTGCTTAGCAGCACATATGAACACGAGTGCACGGTTAGGGACCTCGTTAGATCGGATGACATTGTGAAGGATGCGAAAACTTGAAACTGTGTGAGCCTTAATGAGAACCAACAGGGAATAACCACATGTTTCTGAAGATAGCGCCCTTGATATCTTCTGACTGGCTTTCAGCAGCTCAGAATGCAAAGCAGCATTGCTCATCGCAAAACCCACACGTGCTCGACATAGTAATTATACGTGTGAACCACGTGACGTGCTTAAGCAACGGGCGTGCAGGTGCGCGAAGGAACAGGTAAACAAATTTTGAGTTTATCCTATTGGGCAACTCAATATCGAAGCAGCAGACTACGATTAACGGAGTTATCGTATTCGAAGCAATAAGGAACAAGGTTAAAGTACGCCGAGCAGATCTACCGCTTGCGTGAGAGCTGCTGGCCGGCAAAGTTTCGGATTGGGCCGCGTTTCAGAAGTTATCAAATCACGATTTTTCTTGCGGGAATGCGGTTCCAGCTTCTAACAATGAAGTACTAAAAGGAATCTTTTGCCCATTTGTTTTTAACTGGCTGACGTCCGGATCCCGGGCCGCAGAGCCCGAGGCAATCTGACGCTTAACGGCTCGACCTCACTTCGGCCGACTTGCTTAGCCGCTTATGGTTGAAGAGTAGTAGCAGGTGATGTAGTGCTTGAAATCAGACCTCCGATTTCTTTCGCGCGCTTCAAGATTCGGGGTACACAGGGAGAATAAAGAGATAAAATTATTGCAAGGTCGACCCAGCTAAACGCGCTCATTGTTGCCAATCGAGTCGATAGAAACCGAAACCAAAACAAAATACTAATTTTTTTTTTGGCGCACGTTTTGCGATTTGGTGCATAATGGCGCCAGGTATTGGTTGTGGCGCAATTTCCGCAACATGGCGCAGGATGGCGCAGACAAATGCGTATGGCGCAAAATGGCGCAAATGGCGCAGCCGTTCCACCCCTGATTGTGAATTCAATCAACAAAAACAAAAAGGCCAGAGAGGTTGATTGAGATGCCGTAAAATCCGAGAGCAGGAGGTAGGCTTCGCCGCAGAAACGCATCAGTCTCGGCCAATGGTGGCCTCGCTAGAGCACCACGTGATTTAAAGGTCCAGTAGCAACGCTCGAAACGGGCGCAAAAAACACAACTTTTTCATTATTTTCAGCCAAAATGCGAAACTGCGGGAGGAGCTGTCTGTAAGAAAAAGGCTTACTCAACCTCCCCAACCAAACGGCAATGGCGGACAGCGACGCGTTCTCGAGATGCAGACGCTCGAAGATTGACGATGTGCGCGGAAAATAGCACTTTCTCGAGCAACCGTAGTTGAATAAAATAAACTTTTTACTAATTTGGCGTTCGAATTTTCGCATGATCTTTTGGGAAGTTGTAACTGAATGTCCAAGGATATTTTTACGGGCAAAAATTCAAAACTAAAAAGTTGCGCGAAAAACTCGCTTTTTCGACGCGCATCTCCCCTTAAAAGGCTGCGCCAGGCAAAAACCGCTCATTTCTTTCAAAATGTATGACACACTTGAGACAGAACTGTACTAGTCTGGTGAAATAAAGACTCTCCTCAAAGTAAGCTTTATTTTTCATCTAGCATAAAATAAATTCTTTTACAAAGGTAAGTTGTCTCATGACATGTATTTTGGCCTGAAAAATTGATGTTTTGGTTATAGCGCCGTACCGCTTATAATGCGGATTTTCGCGACTCCCGCGACATACGTTATATGCGGTCTACACTGTATACACTAATGTGTGAAATTTTTTTTGTCAAATTGAACTGCTGTACTTGAAATTTGTGCAAAAATGAGAACAAAAAGTGTAAACATTTCCAGCTATATTAAATCATACTAGGTATGTTTTTTTAAGAATCCTAAATATACAAAGTGTACCACTTACATAGCACTATTACTTGTGTAAGTTAGAGAGCTCTAGCTGATAGTGTCTTTTTTTAGTCCATCTGCAATCGTGCTTCCATGGCGTCGCGCCATTCACGGACGCAGTTGCATCTGGACGTGTATGTCCTCCAGAATACCTCTTTTTGACACAAAACATTGGTTCGTCATAGCACTGCCCTAACTTCTCTGCTGGTGTTATTGTGGCTTGCAGCACACATGAAATATGTGCTCCAGCTCAGGACAACCTAGAACGACGCTCTCCAACGAGCACCCACCGATATTCTGCACCTCAAAGACGAAATGTCCCCGTAGGAGCTCAAATGAAATAATCTAATATTATCTACAGCCCCCACTGCTGTTGTCACCCAAAAAAACAATTGGCAAAAGCAGTTAGATAGTGAGATTGAGAATATCTTTCTAGCAATCCCCAATGTCAGGAGGATGCCATGTCTGACAAGGACCACCGTCGCGTAGAGCTTATTTCTGACAGCTCACCAGCCTGGGAGAAAGTGCAAAACGAAATCGAAACGGTAGTTCTTTGAATGTCCACGAGATGACGCCATGTGTTACTGCACACCCAATTTGAATTTCGGCAGCGTGTGCAAACCATGGATCACGAGTAATCAATGGCCTATGGGTACGGTACGGAAAGTGGTGACCACGTGACATCCTCTGACCTCGTGTCCCGTGGTATGCGACGTCGTGCGTCGTGCTCGCGACTTGATGCCCAACGTTACTGTACTCGGCGTCGACTGACTTGCGCTGCCTTGTCGAGGCAAGTGTAGCTTCCACAGTGCTCAGACTCTGCCAAAGCTGGTTGCGCGAGACAAACCCACCAGCTCTCACAGAAGTGCGGGACTGCAGCACTGTGGAAGCTAGCACCGACGACATAATACCAAAAAGTTGACGCCCAGTATAGATCCAGTCGATATTGTGATGTCACGCAAGATCATGACTTCGCACCGCAAGTCCCGTGACATGCCACGCACAGTATGTATGAACACAAAGTTAGCTTCTGTTAGAATGCAATTATGCATTAAAAGACAAGTGTGCACGTAAAGGCTGTTGTGTGTACGTTTCTTGCGTGTAACACGACGCATGGCTGGACACGTGGTGCAGCGAGATATGATTTGTACCTGCCCGATCATTACCACAAATGTTCCACAATGTCTCGCTGCAATAGGTCAAGCTATATCGCAGTTTGTAGCCATCAAAAACTTTTATTGCAGTGATGCGTTTGTGGTCCGAGGTTTTCGTTGCGACAAGTTTATGGCCATTGCAGGAAGGCAAACATCTATCTTTTTAAAACACGTTAGAGTCCCTCATGTCTACTTGGAAAAGGTTTTATGTGACAAATCCTTTCAAAATAAAGTTGCCGTTTCTATGGCCTTAAATATAATTCAGAAACCATTTTACTTCAAAAAGTAATGACGATAGAATGCATTAGGCTCCAAAACCTCAAACAAGCATTAAGATGATTCATTCATAGTTCTGATTGCCGCATTTTGTCTGTTGAGAGAATACACCTAGCACTCGTGGGCTTTCTACGTAACCGAATTGAACCCCAAACCCCATTCTGTGCACATACGAGATCCTCAGTGTCTGCACAGACCTACTGCAAACCCTGATGATACACCACAAGGCCCTTAAAGGACACATGCAAAGGAAAAAGACATTTTTTTTAAACGGCTTAGATGAAAAAAGGACGCCATAAAACAATTTTACAACGAAGAAAAAAAATTTTTAGAGCTATATTTACGGCGCAAAACGAATGTGTAGTTGGCGCCCGCGGGCACCGCGGAAAAGTGGTCTGTATTTATCACGTGACTGGCCTTTATTTATCACGTGGTGCTTGCGCTCTTTCGGAAGCTTCCTATGGCCTCTAAAAGTAACTTATTCATCTTTGTTTGAAGTATAACAAAAAACCAAGACGAATAAGTAACTTTTAGAGCCCAAAGGAAACTCCTGAAAAAGCGCAAGCAGACGTGATAGACCTGTGCGCCGGTCAGACGACGGCGGCGGCGCCCCGAAGCAGACGAACTTGTGCGGCGGCGGCGACGGCGGCGTGGAGAAACGCGTTGAAGCGGCGTTCGCACAACGCTCAGCGTGCGGCGGCGACGCAGCGCGGTGGCGCGCGGGCCTACCACGTGACCAGCGGCGGCTCCCGCGAGCGCCCAACTACAAATTCGTATAGCGCCGTAAATATAGCTCTAAAAATTTTGTTTCTTCGTTGTAAAATTGTTTTATGACATCCTTTTTCCATCTAAGCTGTCGAAAAAAAATTTTTTTTCCCTTTGCATGTGTCCTTTAAAGGAACGCTAAACTCCCAAAAATAAGTTTTTCAAGCATCTGGATATGTCACAAAATGAACCCCCACCCCCCCCCCCCCCCCCCCCCCCCGCTACTGCAATTTTCAATATTTGTTACGAAATTCTCTATGAGTTAGGGGTGATTACGAAACACACGTCCATTCGTCAATGTCTCGAAGAGGTAGCAAGTTGTGCAATCACTCCCAACTCAAAATGAGCCTTGCAATGTAAATATTGCACTACTGGAAAGAGTTCATTTTACATTCATAATTCCTATCCTAACACATCAAAAAAAAAAAAAATTGGAAAAAGGGGGGGGGGGGGGGGGGGGGGGGGGATGGGGGGGGAGGAGGCTTCTCAAGAGTTTTTTTAAGAGACTGCAGTTGAATGAAGCCCAAAAGAAATGCCGCAATTCCGCTGACCCCCGAGGCTGGCATGCGTTGCCACTCAATCCCCTCTGACCAGAGCAGCACAGAGGAACAGACCCTACCTTTGTAGATGAGCTTCTGCATGGCAGGAGGCACACCTGAAACCAGACAGAGTGTCGGTAAGCACCTAGAGAGGAGATCCGTCAACTCTATTTGTCTCTCGCCAAATGCTTCGTCGAAATTTCTTAACTAAATCGGACCAAAGCTAGAATATGCAGCCTCAACCCGGGATCCCGGTCATGACATCCTTGTCACTACATTAGAATCCATCCAAAATAAATAGATTTGTCTCATTCTAGAAAACTATCACTGCACTGAAAGTGCTACATCGATAGAAATAAATTAATCATTGCCATCTCTCTCTATCAGAAAAATTTCATCTATATTCATTTCACAAACTTTGTACTTTCATAGTTCCATGTTATGCAATCAAATGATATCTCTCGCCTCTTGCATATCGTCTCGCGTGAATCGTCGGCATAAAGTTAAAGTCCCAAGCTAATTACCGACGGCATTTCACCCATCTTTCCTCCCTCGCACGGCACAAGAATGGAACCATCTCCCCAGTTTGATCGCTAGTATCACTGACCCTAACCTGTTTCAAAATGCTATTACTAACCATTTTTGCAATGATCCACGACCTATCTGATTTCTGTTTCATTTCGTTATATTGTTATTATTATGGTTTACTTGTGTAACGGTTTTACTACCTGCTTTTGTACCCACTCCCCTTCTCCCCCCCCTGACTGCGTCGGGCCATGAGGGTATAATGGATACACGAATAAATTAAAAAAAAATAATCGGACTATTAATTGCGAGGACAATGATATGCCACGGTAGACACGGAACTCTCGAGAGCTCGAGAATAAGAATTTGTCTTTCTTTGTCAGCACAGCCAAGAACTCCTTTCATACTGCAAGGGCTCTCAGACTGGGTTCCTAAAAACCCAGGGGTTCCACAGAACCCCGCCGTGGCTTCCCCAACCCAACAAATAAGATAGTTTCACAGTTTGAACGTTATTCGACAAGATCACGGCCAGGCAGAGCTACGTCCCTAACAATCTCCAGCACGTGCCTTATTGTTTACAAGGTATCTAGGCCTGCACACTGCTTTACTGCATCTATGCCTAGACCGGGAAGGGTTCCTTAGCTATTAATCTAAAGAGGCAGGTGTTCTTAAGGAGCCCTGGCGTACGGCAAGCCACGCTGTGGTAGCTTGCACGCGGTTCAAAAGCACGCACATTAAGGGGATAGCTGGAAAAGATGAGCACTGATGTCCTCCCAAGCTACAGTTGGGTAGTGACAGGCAGAAGGACACGATCGAGATGGTGGTCAGTGTGGCAAGCAGAGGTGCGCTTCCGTACACTCCCATGTAACCTTTGCTGCTCTATACGGTGCAGTGTACACTGAATAACGGCATTGCGGGTGTATTTCCCATATGCTGCGATTTGCAACTCGGTCTTTCGAGTGCGTCGGTCCCCAATAACATGTAATACACTGATCTTTAAAGGGGCACAAAGACAATAACTCAACCAACACGACACAAAAAAGAATGAAATTAGGATCGTGTGTGGCCTTTTTCCTCTAATAAGAGTGAGCCAATATTCTAAGAAACCCCCTTTTCTAAGATATATCTAAAAGAAAAAGTGTTGCGTCGCAACATTTGGTCGCCTTTTCAAAAGGGGGAAAAAGGCCACGCATGACGCTAATCTTGAATTTTCTAAGATACTTAGGATGCATAGATTAGGTCGCAAGAAGTCAGAGTCAGATACCACCCAAGTACTGCTTTAAGGTTAGAACACAAAAATGAAATGGATAGTTTACTTTTGAAATAAAGAGCTCATAGGCTACTTAGTATATATACCAAGTTTCACAATTTTTAGGGCTCTAATAATTGCAATATTCAATTTACAAATGTTGATTATTTTCATGCTAGTCCCACCGTGGTGCCCATAAACAATGTTATTATGAACGATCTCTCATTCTATTCGCGACTCCAGCAAAACGGACGCCGCCAAGCGGGAAAACCGGGAACCAGCCGGTCCAGGTCACTTCGCGCCCCTCCGCGTCTCTGGTGGCTTTCGTGGAGACGTGTTGTCGGCACGGTGGCGAACAATGTAATTTGACGAAGGTCCGAATATTTCTTAAGTTTGCCTGAGTGATCATTAGTGTGTTGAAGCCTCAGTAAATTGTTTTCTTCTATTACGTGTTTGAAAGCTCGTTTACTCCACAGCACACGGTCGCGTGCTTTCGATTTCTTGGATGGGGAGAAATCACGGAAAAACTTTGATTTCTTGTCTGTCTCGAATCACATTCAAAGTGACGACTGCTTGGTAACTGATACTGGAGGGAACATCAATGTTGCAGTCAAGTAAATGGGAAGGTTCGATAGCTGCTTTTCTTGAGTTGTGTTCGGTTAGCTTCAAGTTTGAGCCACCCACGCCGGTCGGTGCGTTGGCTATTCATCTTGGCTGCTTTTCGCCGAAAAAGCCTCTGGACCACACTGAAGGAGTTGGGCTGATTTCGCAATTCATTGATTCAGGAAAACTTGCTCGCTGCAAATGATGAATGAGGGAAATTATCTGTTTTCAAAAGGTGGGAGACAAGTCTCGCAACGTTAGATGCTGCCACGACATTTTGACCTATCGCGCTTCCAATATTTATATTACCAGGACGTCGAAGCCAGCAGTAATATACGTCTACATTGGTCAGGTTGACCGGCCACAAAAAAATACTAATTTTATCCGTTCAGGATTCGAAGCAAAGTTCAATGCAGAGAGGTTCTGCGTGGATCTTCAATGAAGACTCTCTTCAGTTTGTCTCCGTGCTGCCGGCTATAGAACCATTTGGCTAAATTTAAGTAGTATGTCTTCGCCAGTCAAATATACTTTTATTCAGCAGCTCACCTAATAGCTAGTCAAGTAAGCTCCTATTTCAACCCGAAGGATATACTAATATTGCTTTAGTGGGACCATAGTATGTAATATAATACATAACCCGCTCGTCAAAATGACTTCTCGATTGCCACTAAAACCTGAATTGAAATACGAGTATCAGCTGCTTAGTGGGGCGCCGGCGGGTTAACATGGTCCTTGGCTCAAAAAACGGTTGCTTAATTTTCGTAATTTTCCTGCAGCCTGTGTTGATGGCCGAGCAGACGACTGGACCTGTTTCGTAAACGCGGATACGCACAAAAGCTCGATTCTGCGGACAGATAAGTCGCATGGTCGAGGCATGCGAGTTAGCTGAAAAGTTACTATCTGTGGAACAATTCTATAGTCATCGCCGCTTTCCTTAGATGATCAAAACTGATTAGTATATTACCGTCTCTCCGGAGCCCATAGTTTCGGTTTTGAACGAAATCTCCGAAACAAAAATTTGACACGAAAAGAAAAAAAAAAAAAAAAACCACCGGCAAAACAAAATTATGCTTTGCAAGTTTATCTGCACCGGCTACACTTCACCGTCTCAGTTCAAATACCTATAAAATTGGGCATTAAGCAAAAGAAAATCTGTTAAATTGAACGCGCCACCTGTTCAGGCGGCCCGGCCGAGCCGCCGCGACCTGGACTCAGCCGCCATGTTTGTTTGGTGGTGGCGCCCCCTATAGGTCGCTGGAGTCGCGAATAGTCTGCTGCAACTCAAGAAGGTAGGGTGAAGGAAAGGAAGGCCGGGGAGGAGAAAGCAGAAGAAATGCTAGAGAGAGGAGGAGGTTTACTCCTCTCTTCTCCACCATTTTGTCTGCTTCCTCCTCCCCAGCCTTCCTTTCTTTCATTTTACCTTCTTAGGTTTGCATTGGACTATAGGCACCCCCACGATCGCCCAAGCTCACCTCGCCACGGTACAATCAGAACCTCTCGCGCAACACGGTTACTTCAACGCTACTCTCGCCCCTGGCCCTGCAGAGAAGTTGGAGCACCGAACACTGGTTCAAGAGATTAGTGGGCAGTCGCGAAGCAAGCTGCCTTTGTCTCTCCTTTCTGCTCCTACACAAATGCCAAATGCCGGTGTTCAAACACCGAGTAGAAACAAAGGCAGCTAGCTCTGCGTCTGGTTATTCTAATCGGAGCTCAGTACTCTGGCATCCCCGCGCGCTCTCCCTCATTTTCTCTCCGCATAGTTTTTTTTTTTTTTTGCGAGAATTCAATGCTCCATGCTGAGAATGTAAGGCAGCTCCGACCCACCCGTCAACCGCTGGATCTCCTGCCGTAGGGCAGCCATCTTTGCCGAGAGTGGCAAGCTGACGTCGTGCTTCTTCTTGTTGAAGATGATCACCAGTGGCACGGGGTCCTCTATGACGTCCGCCAGAGACGCTGCATCACCGTCCTCTGCATTTCGCAAACGTGGCGACCGCCTTTTCTAGGCCGAAAGGGCACATTTCAGGTGCGCCAGTCATCTGCGCTGCCTTTGTCTGATCTAAGATAAAACCTGTCTTTTTTTTACTTTTGGCACATAGAATATCTATAGCCAAAATAAAGCTGAATGGAAAAATGGGAGAGCCTCAGGCGTGTAGTATAAAACAAAATTATACATTTATTTTTTCCATGATTCGCACATAGAATACCATCGGCCTAAATAGGGATGAATGGAAAATTGGTGGACCCTCAGGCTTATAATATGAAAAAAAAAAAAAAAAAAAGAAGTGTAATATTACAATTATTGTTTTATAAAACTATTTTGAGGGACACAATATCACAATATAGCCATATCACAACAATTTCTCATGGCAAGGATCGGCAACCTTTTGCTGTGGCGCACAAAGTCGTCACGAAGCTACCATGGAGGGGGCCAGACGGTGGCAGGTAGCGAAAATGAGAAGAACAGGGGGGGGGGGGGGGGGGGGGGGGGGTGTCATTTGACATTCCTGTTCAAGATAGTTCTATGTATCTGCTTAGTCGCTTTGGCACCGTTCCGTTCCTTCCTCTCTTTTAGAGCGCAGCTCTTAGGGGCCCGTTTCCGGCTTGAGCGGCGTCGCCGTCGCCGTCGGCGTAACCGCGCGGTGCATCATGGGAAATATCCCATAATGCACCGCGCGAGCCCCCCACCGGGGTCACGTGACTTCGTGGGGAGGCACGTGACCCCCCCCCGAGGTCACGTGACCCCCCCGAAGTCACGTGACTCCCCTGAGGTCACGTGACCCCCTCCTCGAGGTCACGTGACTCCCCTGAGGTCACGTGACCCCCTCCTCGAGGTCACGTGACCCCCCGAGGTCACGTGACCCCCGCCGATGTCGCGTGACCCCCGATGACGTCATCGACACTGATGACGTCACCGGCATCCACATCGTCATCGTCATCATCAGTGATGACGATGACGATGCGGATGCCGGTGACGTCATAAGTGATGATGACGATGACGATGTGGATGCTGGTGACGTCATCAGTGATGATGACGATGACGATGTGGATGCCGGTGACGTCATCAGTGATGATGACATCAATGATGATGACGTCATCAGTGACGATGACGATGTGGATGCCGGTGACGTCATCAGTGATGATGACGATGTGGATGCCGGTGACGTCATCAGTGATGACGTCATCAGTGATGATGACGATGACGATGCGGATGCCGGTGACGTCATCAGTGATGATGACAATGTGGATGCCGGTGACGTCATCAGTGATGATGACGATGACGATGTGGATGCCGGTGACGTCATCGGTGATGATGACGATGACGATGTGGATGCCGGTGACGTTACCGACATCCGCATCGTCATCATCACTGATGACGAAATCAGTGACGTCATTGATGTCGTCACCGGCATTCGCATCGTCATCATCACTGATGACGTCGTCAGCGACGTCACTGATGACGTCACCGACATTCGCATCGTCATCGTCACTGGTGAAGTCATCAGTGACGTCACTAATGACGTCATCAGTGACGTCAGTGATGACATCATCGGCATTGGGGGTCAGGTGACCCCCCAAGGTCACGTAACCCCCCCCCTGGTTAGTCTAACCCCCCCCCCCCCCCCCAGCGCCCTTCCCTCCTCCTCCTCAAGAGCTGCGCTCCAATTCGGCGTTACAGGGAGTTGTAAGCGGCTTTCACTTTTTGTCCTTTTCTTACTCTTTTTTCTTTTCAGCTTGCCTTCAGTGTGCATATGATGGCTTCTGGGAGTGCCTGCTTCATACTCTTTCTCAAACCCGCCCAAGACTTCTTCGCCAGTTAGCATGTAGAATGTGTTCTTTGCTGCCTGTACAGGGCTGTGGTCCACTAGCGTATCGGTCACCTCTGTAGCTCCAGTCGCTGCATATCTGTCCTTCATTTGATCCATGTTCTGTGATAAGACAATCGTTCATGTAGTCTGCTGTCACATCGGTGACAGTTTCGGGTTCATAATTGTTACGCGACGTCACATTGTGGGAATTCGCGTACCGCCGCCGATTCGCCGTTTCCCACGTGGTCCGTCAACAACCCGAGTCCAGCCTGGTTCTTTCACGGGAGCGGGATTCCGCTCCCAGTTTATTGGTACAATAAAACACAACACTACAAAACACTCAATCTAAACTACAAATACAAGCTACATTACACAATTATTTACAAATGCACGTTAAGGCTAAAGCTAAACACAAAGAAGGCCCTTAGGCCTCGCGTCCCGCGATATCCTAGATCCGGTCGCCACCCACTTGCCTGCCAGTGCCTGCGTCTCGGTCTCGTCCGAAGTTCTTAGAGGCCTCTTGCCCCCTGCCCCACCGAGTATATATCTATCGATGGGCGAGGAGGTTTCTCCTCGCCTGCCACGGGGGCGCCTGCAGCGCCCTCCAGTGGCTAGGAGAGAAAGCGGCGCGTCGGGAGCCGAATTCGAGATCCCGATCGACCCCGCGGCAACACGACCATGTGATCGTGTCGCGGCCAAGATTGGCCGAATGGTTTGATGGGCGCCCTCGTGAATTCACGGTGCGCCATACTCCCCTCTCCTAAAAATCGAAGTACGCCGGAATTCAGACGTACGGCTAGGCTGCTGGGAACACCGTCGCTTGGTTTGGCCTGGAGACCCCCCACCCGCACACACACACCGCTGGTCCCATGGGTCGTCCTCACTGAGGTCCATCAGTTCGCCCGAGACCTGGGGTGCGCGGCCACCACACACCTCGCAGTAGACTGTGTCGACTTCGGCTTGGCGGCGGCCTCCGGGGCAACGGGGTCCTTGAGCAGTGTGCCTGGCCACCATGAGACTGGCCCCTCCACAGAGTGGTGCACCGGAGAGGGACTGTGGTTGCGACCCAGCTGCGACCGCCCTCCCGGAACGATGCGGGGCTGGAAGTCCAGTGTCACTGAGAACTGCACCCCGGCGTCCTGCGTGGCGTCGCAGACGTCCCACAAGGCTCCCCGAGCTGTGGTTCCTGCCGGGGAATACGCTGCCAGAAGACGAGGAGCTCAGACCAAGCTGGTGTTTGTCCAAACGGCGACTCCTCCTTTCATCCCTCCCAGAGAGGACCATTCGATGCACACCAAGTTGCGTCTCGAAGCAGCAGCCGCAGGGGCGATGACGCACAAGAAAAACAAAAAACAAAAAAAAACAAAAACATTCAAAGCACAAACAAGAAAAACAAACACTGAGGGTTCCGAGGCACCCTCCCCCCCACCCACAAAGAAAAACAATAAAAAAAATGCCGGGAACGCCGATTTCGGATCGCTCCCCCCTCTTCTTCCCTTTCCCGGGCCACGCACTCTACGAAGTTCCGATCCCATCGGGTTGCCTCCGGCTACGCGTGTTGTAGCTGTGCCGCGGTGGTCCCAGGAACTCCTGAGATCGTTGGCGCCCGCGAATGCCCCTTTGCGGCCGCTTGACCGGCTCATCCCCTTCCCTGGGGAAAAAGGGTTTCAGTTCGCCGATGTGAACTGTCCCGCGGACGAGATCAGAATTCTGGTCCCTCAGCGTGTATGTCAGTCGAGACTTCTTGGAATCGATGACAAAGGGGCCAACCCACTTGGGGGCCAACGCCGCCGAGAAGAACTTACTCGCATCGCTCTGCACGTGACTTCGCCGCAGAACGGTGTCGCCCACCTCGAACTGCGCATCGCGGTGCGCTTTGTCATAGGTGTTCTTCTGCTCCGCCCGCGCGCGAGCCCTGTTTCCGCGGGCGGCGTCCAGCGCCCGCGACAGTCGCTCTCTTGTGCGCGTCGCGAAGTCCTCGTACGAGGGCACCGCTCTGGCCGCGCTCTGTCGCGGGCGAAGAACCGCATCGGTCGGCGTAGAGAGTTCTCTGCCGAAGTTCAAAAGCGCAGGCGTGAACCCAGTGCTGCGGTTGAGGTTGGACCGCAATGCAAACGAAATCGAATCCAAATGCAGATCCCAGTCCCGCTGCTTTCGAGCATACGCCCCGAGCAGCGGCTTGATGTCGCGGTTCCGCCGCTCGGTCACATTTGCTTGTGGATGGTAACACGAAGTCTTACAATGCTTAATCCCGAGGGCCTGGCAGGTTGCCGCGAAGACTTTCGAGCAAAATATCGAGGCGTTGTCACTCACCAGTCTCTCGGGGAACCCGTAGCGACACCAGACCTCGGACAGCCTGCTCAGGACTCCCTTGGCTGTCACCTTCCGCATTGGAAACATCTCGACGAATCCGGTGAAGTGGCAAGTGACTACCAACACATGTTGATAGCCTCCGCTTGACCGCGGCAGGGGTCCCATCAAGTCGCAGGCCGCGATCTCCCATGGCCGCGTACTCACGATGGGCTCGAGCAGGCCGGGTGGTCTGCCGCCCCTGGGCTTGCGCTCTTGGCACACTGCGCAGCTACGGACATAACGGCACAGCTGCCCCTTCATGCCCGGCCAGGTAGCAAAACGGCGCAGCTTATGCCACGACTTCGGTGCACTGCCGTGACCGTCCGCATCGTGGTAGTGACGCAGCGCTGCCACTCTGAGATCGCGGGGAATCACGGTCTTGAACGACTCACTTGAATCGCTCTCTTCCGGGAAGTAGCGCAGCAGGACGCCGTCCCCATCGATCAGGTAAGATTCCAGCTCACCTGCTTCGATGTCTGACTCCTGGGCGATGGCCCTTGGCCCTCTCGGTGTTCCGGAGTGCCGGAGCGTCTTTTCGCCCGTCTGGTCAGGATCCATCTCTTGCCTGAGCCGGTCGAAGATAGCGCGACAAAACGAATCGCTCTGCTGTGCTTCGTACAGTTCCGTTCGGTTGAACGCCGGTCCCAGTGAGGTAATCGCCTCAGCCAGCTGCGCGACGCCGCCACAGTAGGGGGCGGAGCGCGAGGCGGGATTTCCCGTCTCCTGGGGGATGGCCCCGCCTCCGTAGCCTGCTGCCTCGCGCGGTGGGGGATCCACGGGCGCGCGGGAGAGCGCGTCGGCCACCACATT